GTCTGGTTTCGCCCACGATTCTTGGTTTGCCTGCAAATGACCTGCTTTTTTCTGCTCCCCCCCTCAAAAAAAAATAAGTTTTCAGCTTGGCAATTTGACCAGGGTGAGCCCTCCCCACTCCTTCCTTCCATCAGATCACAGCAAGAACTTCAAAACCAGTCCCCCACAACTTCTGGCATCCTTTCTCTTCCCACCTCCCCAAAACCTCGCCAAGCACTTTGAAAAAACTTTTTGGGGAGGGGGAACGGATTAAAAAAAAAAACCCTTCAAGCTTAAAATCGTGGCGAAAAAAAGTTTTGGAAGAAAAAGCCAAAGACTTTTTCCAGCCACCACCACCACTCCTCCCAAAATCTCCTGCCACCCACCCAGCCACACCCAAATACAATACCACCACCCGCCCTCTCTCTCAAAAAGCAAAGGAATTTAAAGTCCTTTGCAACTTAAAACATTTGGAGTGAATTGGAAAAATGCACCCTTTGGAAACCCCTCAATGCAGGCTTCTCACTTGGGGTGAAAGCCCCAGACCCTTAGGAAGACTGAGGACTAGCTCCTTGTCTCTCCTTTGCAGCTCAGGGAAAGAGTTCCCCTCCTAACGCTTCCCGGGGAGGGCGAAACACTGAAAACTTTTGAAGAGAGGATGCCCAAGTTCCTATCTTCACGCCCTGCTAGTAGAAACAGACGTCTTTGCAGGATTTGGTCTCCGGCTGTTGGGCAATGCATGACGGAGGGGTTGGTGTGGGTAGGGGAAAAGCATTCTGGCTTCCCCAGTGCAGGGTGGCATTCATCTACCCCCCCATCCCGCCTCTCCCACCCCCCCAAAAGAAAAGCGCCTCTCCAAAAAATGGAGAGACCTCTCCAAATCTGTTGGCAGCATTTTGCGCAAAGCGGACCTCGTGTCCCCCCTCCGTCCCCCCCCCGGGCGGTGTCTCATCAGGCCACACACGTACGCAGTGCCTACTACACCCCCCCTCCCGGCCACACCCTGAGCCAGAAATGCGGGTTTTCCGAGCCCCACTTCTGCCCCCCCAAACCAGCCCAAATGTTCCTGCAAAACAAGGCACAGAGAGGATGGGGGACCCCTTTCCCCTCTCTCTGCATTTCTCTTCTCTCTCTTCTTCCCGGAGGGGAGGGAAAGAAACACCCGCCTCCACCCACCCACCCCTCCGTTTCAGGATCCAGAGGGTCGCAGCCAATTCTTTTTTATTTGGAGAGGGGGGCTCCCCGGGACAGCCCTGCGCCCCGCTTTTACGCGCGCCTGGCTTTTACGCGCGCCCCGTTACGCGCGGCGGAGAGAGAAGGAGGGAGAGAGATAGAGACTCACCCGGGCAGAAAGCAGCCTGGAGCGACGGCTGGCAGAGGGAGAAGTGAGGTTTGGCCGGCCACCGCCTCCGCAACACTCGCTGGGCTGGGCTGGGCTGGGCTGGGCTAGGCTGGGCCGGGCCGGGGGCGGAGAAGCCGGACTGGCATCTGCAGACGCGCGGGAGAAGCCGAGTTCTTGGAGAGGCGCCAGAAAGCTGGGCGTCGGACCCTTAGAGCTCTTTCCTGGGCCAAAGGGGATTGTCCTTGGGCGGGCTGCCCAGTCTTAAGTTGCAAACGATTAGAAAGAAGAGAGAGAAGAGTAGAAGATAAGAGAATAGAAGAGAGAAATGAAAGGAGGAGAGAGACTAGAGAAGAGAGGAGAATAGAGAATAGAGAAGAGAATATAGATATTGATTGATAGATGATAGACAGAGATATAGATAGATACAGATACAGTAGATAGATGGAGAGAGAGAGATACAGTAGATAGCTAGAGATAGAGATGTAGATAAAGATGGTAGAGATATAGATAGATAGATAGATAGATAGATAGATGATAAAGAGATAGATAGATAGATAGANTTTTTCTGCCTTTCTACTTGTGTCTACGGCGGGACAATATTAAGCCAACGGTGGGATTTTCACCTGTGGTTGGGGAACTCCCGGCCACTAGATGCCATATAATCCATGAGCTCGGATGGCTTTCCAAAGGCCAGGAGGGTTGGAAAGAAAATTCCCGGTTTCATGGAGACTTCAGGGGTGCCTCCACGAATAGGCGCAGTCTATCTTACAGCCCCCTAAACGGGGGAAGCCAGCTGCAGTGCCCCATTTGTGGCCTTCCCTCCCACACCTGGGGGGGAAAAGCAGCATCTTGATCTAGCAGGGCGTGGCACTGCCAAAGTGGAACCTCCAGGCAACAGGGGCAGTCTACCTCTAGGAATCCCCAAGGGAGAAAACTTTTTGCCAAAGCGGATCTGGCAAGGCGTGGCCACTCCAGATGAAGCCTCCAGGCACAAAAGCACTCTATCTGTTAAGAACTAACGCCCCCCAATCTCCACCACCACCCCCGCATAGCGCAGAGAAGCAACTTCACCTTGTTTTAAATCTGGAGTTTGGGTGGAACCTCCATGCATAGAGACAGTCTACCTTTAAGAATTACCCCCTCCCCCCCAAAAAACCTGGATCTAGCAAGGTGTGGCCAACCAAATGGAACCTCCATGCAGAGAGGCAGTCTATCTGCCTGCAAACCCCCCCATCAGGAAAACTGGATCTAGCCCCAAATGGAACCTCCATGCAGAGAAGCAGTCTACCTTCCTGCAAACTCCCAAGCAAAGCTGGATGTAGAAAGGCGTGGCCACCCCAGAGGACCGAAGCAGTCTACCTTTTAAGAACCCCCCCCCCCCAAAATACCCTGCAGCCTGGCTCCAACAGTTCGCTTTTAAGTCTGGAATTTGGGGCCTCTCAGCCCACCACCCACCCACAGATGGAGCAGGGGAAGGGAAAAATCCACCCTTGCCAAAGAAAACGTGAATTTTGTTTCTTGCCCCGTCTTCCGAGCCCCACCCAGCCGGTTTCTAAAATGGGGGGGGGAGAGGAGGCAGGGCTGGGTGATCCCAGATGGAGGGAGCCTCTCTCTGGCCTTAAGCCATATTATGTAGGTCAGGGAAAGTCAAGAGGAGAAAGGAACACCCTGCTGTCTGGTTTCGCCCACGATTCTTGGGTTGCTTGCAAATGACCTGCTTTTTTCTGCTCCCCCCTACTCAAAAAAATAAGTTTTCAGCTTGGCAATTTGACCAGGATGAGCCCCCCACTCCTTCCTTCCATCAGATGGAACAGCAAGAACTTCAAAACCATCCCCCCCCAACTTCTGGCATCCTTTCACTTCCCACCTCCCCAAAACCTCGCGAAGCACTTTGAAAAAACTTTTTTGGGGAGGGGGAACGGATTAAAAAAAAACAAAACCCTTCAAGCTTAAAATCGTGGCGAAAA